AGAGAGAGAGAGAGAGAGAGCTGGGTGCCCCCAGTGCACTGAGTGCACTGTAAGCAAACGGCAACATGTGCAATCGATTAGCGGAATAGAGAAGAATGGGGTTCACTGAAGAAGTGCTGTGCTGTGTCTGCCATTTGCTGTGCTTCACTTGTCCGCCAACTGGGTGAAGAAGCAAGGCAGACTCAAGACATGCAAACAGAAAAAATGCTCTAAGAAGGAGAAGAAGGCTCAAGCAAGCAAAAACAGCAGAAACAGCACCACCCCCACCCACCAGTGCTTCTGCTAGCCCGGACTATCGCATATCAGCTAATAATAGCGCCATTCACAGCGAGAAAGCCAGTGTAGAGAAGGGCGAAATGTGGTGGTGAATGAACGAGGCAGTGCAGACACCAAGACTAGTGTAAAAGCCTCTGACTGACTGAAAGACTGAGAGTGATAACCAAAGACACCGAAAAGCCAAAGCTTCTGCTTCTGCCGCGCCCGAGACAGTCATCATCGGCACTTGAGACACTTGCACACACATACACTAAGACTGACTGCACTTTTGGTTTCTAAAAAAAGGTGCGACATGGCTGACATTTTTCACTCTTCCTTCGCTGTCTCTTTCCTCCTCCTCTTGGCATTCGTCTCTTCAGGTCAGGTACGTGTTCACTGCTACTGCCTTGGTGCAGGTGGCCTTCAAATATTCTCTTCATTTTTCCGTTACCAAAAGCGCTTTCCTTTTGTACTTTTCCCTCCTATAGACGTACGACGTTGATGTGACCCACAAAGTGACGTTCACCGTGCAAATTGGCAATGACACCGCCGCCATTTCCCAACTGGTGATTGGCCTTTTTGGAAAGATCGCTCCAAAAACTGTGGAAAATTTCGCCGTGCTCGCCTCTGAGGCGGGCTTCCAGGGCAAGTCCTACAAGAACAGCACCTTCCACCGGGTGATTCCCTCCTTCATGATCCAGGGCGGCGACATAACCAGCGGCGATGGCCGGGGCACCTTCTCCATCTACGGAGAGAGCTTTGAGGATGAGAACTTTGTGCTGAACCACGGTCAGGCGGGCGTGCTGAGCATGGCCAACGCCGGCAAGGACACCAATGGCAGTCAGTTCTTTATCACTCTGGTGCCGACGCCCTGGCTGGACGGCCGGCACACCGTCTTCGGTGTCGTCCTCGACCGAGCCAGCCTCGATGTCGTCTTCCGAATTGGCAGCGTCCAGACGGACAAGGAAGACAAACCGGTGGAGGAGGTTCGCATCGTCCACACCAAAGTGGAGGAGGTGCAGGAGAAGGCGACACTGGAATAGAGGTGAACTGTAAAATACATTTTGTTTTTAATAATTTGTATAATGTTTACAATTTGTTGAATCCTAAAAGTGTGTAAATTTGTTACAAGGCCTAATTTTTTATATATACCTGCGTTTTTAAGCGTAACGTAACAAGTACATATGGTAAAATAAATATTTGAAAATATTTTTGTTCGTAGAGTTGAGAAATAGGAAAATAGTGCTAGAGTTCGTTGAAGGGAGATAGTTGAGAGATTAGAGCTCGAGTTAAGATAGTGGGTTTGGCTGTGATGATCTGATCACCAAGTCGTCGGCAATTTTTAAACGTTTTGTGCTGCCGGCCAGCTGATACCGCGTTTCATCTACACTCTTTGCCGTCTTGTGTGCAATATCGTGCACTTCTTCGTTTATTTTATTGATGACCAATTCCATTGCTTGTCGTCCCTGGAAGTGGTTAAAGGTAAATAATAGAAAATTAAACAAATAATCACACAACTAAACTGACCTTGAGTGCGTTTTTTGCAATGTCCTTGTAGACAAACTCTTCAAAGTAGCTACTCAACGGAATGCCATGGACTTCAATCAGCGTTTCCTGAGTCATTACTGTTTTGCTTTCATCAGCTGGATGGGGCTTATAAGTGAGTTGTTCAATTATGGAAATTTCATTGCAGAATGACACCTGTGAACGTGATTGATAAGAACGAGCTTCAAAAAGTACATACAAGCGACACTTACGTTTTTAGACTTTAACGTGAAACTCTTGTTTTTAGGATCAAGTTGAGAATGCTCACTGGCGATCGATGTATCTCGCCCGAGTAGTTTTTCCGCCCAACCTGGGAGACCCCACTTGCAGCTGATGAGTCTGTGCGTGTGCAAAACAGAAGTTTCAGGACAGACTTTCCGGTCGACAATGTCAATGCCCACGACAGATGGATTCATTGGGTTGGGGTACTTCCGCCAAACGGCTTGGACAACAGTGTCCCATGGGTGTCTGCAGAGAAATATTGAAACATGAGTATTGCACTGGGCTTTAGGAGTTCAAGCGAAATACGCACTGAAATGTGTGATCGGTGGTCCAAATGCGCATTTTGTATCTGCAAAGTAGGTCAAGTGTGGTGGTCAGTCGCTGGCACAAGTGGCTGAAGCAGCAATTTTGCTGAATTACCAAAGATAAAGATGTGGAAATGAAGATGAAAATATCACAGTGTGCTTGACGGGCAAACAGGTGAGAAGGTGAGCACCAGGTAGATAGAGGGTGTAAGAGTGGTGCTGTTGCAGTTGCTGATGCCGTTGAGCGGAGAGAGAGGTGCTTGCCGAATGAGCAGCGGTGAGCAAGTGAAGTGAGTACTCGGAGCTGATGGACAACAGGGCTAGATGATAACCTACCGATGCGGCGACGGCGTGTGAGGTGCTCTGTACAGACGCTGCAGTTTGATACTGATCTGAAAGCAGTGGTGTGCACTGGTTGAGGCGAGTTACGGGCGTACGGACGAACCTGACCTACGAAGAAGAGAGAGTTGCGTCACGAGGCGTTGGTGGTAGTGGCTGCCAACAATTTCTGGTGTCTCTCTTTGCCGTCACTCCATCAGTGTGGGATGCTAAAGCGTGCGTGGTGTGGCATTGTGCAACTGTAACTGTGCTTTCGGCGCAAAGCCATTTCCACTCACCTCGCCAATGCACAACTGTAGCAGGCAAGTGGAAGTAGCGCACTAGCACAGCTGATTTATTGTTTTTTTGTTTTTGTCGTCATTGACGCAAAAAAGTACTTTTTGAGTGAAAATGTAATGACAACAGCGAATGACTGACAGTTTTTGGCCATCAAAAGTACCTGCGAACAATGATCATCAACACGTTTTTTTGCAAGTCAACGTTTTGGTAAGCACAATTAAATCAATTGCTCTTGATGATGATAATCTGAGGGTTGTTTGGGTTTTGCAGATGAACTTTGCTAGGCGGAAATGAGCGTTGATTTAGTCGCTCTCACAGCAGCGAGCGGTTTACCAATCGCCACACGAAGAGTGATTCTGCAAAAAGGGTCCGCTCTGCTGAATGGCGATGGACCCTTCAATTGCGGCGAAATTCCTCTCAACGCCATCACTACGCTCTACAGTTTGAACCTTTTTTCTCAGCTGAATGGGTGTAACCTTCAGCTGGCCAAGACGGCGGATGATCGAACAAAGGTGCGCTGGAAGCAGTTCAATGACAGCATAGTGCTGATTGTGATAGCCAACGGGATTGGCCTTCATGAGGACACCGAACTGGACAGTCTTCTCGAGCTTTCTTTCGACGCTATGGTGATGATGTGCGGCCTAGCCGAGCTGGGCGACTCCAATGTAGAGAGACTGAAGAGCACCGTCAAGCAGGCCAATCCACTGGTTGATTACTTTCTCAGCTCTTTCGCCACCGGTCGCGGCTCTCCCCGCCTGGAGCTGATTACCCACTGTAGTCACTACGCCATTGCCAGTCGATCGTCCTACATCGCCTCCCTTGTCAACTCTGTTGCTCAGACCGCCAGCAGCAGTTTTTGTGCCCTCTATGTGCACAAGAAACTTCTGGCCGCCAGCAGCGACTGGTGGACACAGCTGAATCGACGAAAAGACTCCTTTCTGATCTCATCTCTGCTCGACTCAATGCTCGACATTGGACTCATCCAAACGAGAGAAATGCTCATCCGCCTGCCCGGCATCAGTCCTAACAACCTGACGCGTCTGGTGATTAACCAAATCACCAAAGGAGTCGTCCTCTGTATCCTCTGTGCTGAAGAGCCTTCCCTTGAGTTTATTGAGAGTGAGATTTTAGTCCCGTTGAATGATCTGAACCTGCAGGAAGAGAAACTGTCGGGGTATATTTACGAACTTCGCGGAAGCAAGTACCTGTCGCCGATGACGTTCAAGGACATTCTCGGCAAAGACACTGCCACGTTTGTTAACCAAATCACAGCATTTCTACTGGTCAACTACGAGCATAAAGTCTACTTATCATTCAATGAAGAGCTAATAGAAGAGTACTTTAATGAGCTGGTCATCTTTACCGATCTGGGGACCGACAAATCTCTCACCACTGACTGTGATGCCTATCATATTGGTAGCCAAGTGAACATGTACCGAGTGAGCCGACGACATGTTCTTCTTTGCACCTTTTTTCCCTCTACAACCACTGTGAAACAGATGATTCAGACAAACGACCTGCAAAAAGCTTTCTTTAAGGCCAAACATTTCTGGCCCTCATTCTAGGCGGAACACACGCTAGATGGCATTCTTTTTGCTTCTAGGACCGGCAGAGATGTCGGTCGGAAAATGACCTGCAAGACCATAAAATTGTCTGATCAGCCATCTGGCCAAATTGTTTTCTTTACGACATTTCACGACAAACTAACGGTTGACAGAAACTGATCAAATTCGCTGTTGCCATATAACTGTTTTTTCCATTGTGTACCGATGAGATTTCACACCAAATAACTATTAGTATCAAACAAGCAAGTTACACATCAAGTTTGCCGTTAGTTTTACTCTGCTGCTGCTGTCAGTGCATTGCTCTTCCTTGGGACAAAGCTGGTACACTGAAGAGATCAGCATTTGTCTACACTTTTTGTAAGACCACGTTTCTAGCACTGCCACTGTCAACTACAAAGAGCATATAAAATGAGAGCATGACTGTGCGGAAACGGAACCGAATGTGGCAGGCGTCGTTGCATCGGTGCACTGGCACTGGCACACGACCACGGTGAGTCTGTTGTCAGGACAGCAGTGCGACGATTGCAGCCAGTTAAGGTAATTGTCATCAGTGGCACTGTGCTAATGGCAATCTAATTCCTCTGAGCAGGTGCATGCACACTGCATTGTCAGTCTTTGCTTCTTGTGCTGGGCACCTTTCGCGGTCTTCAGTTTCATCCGCCTGTGTCTGCTGCTGCTGCTGTTGACTTTTGCGGCGCCGGACAACGACTAGCAATTAGAGGCAAGGTGCACACCGAGGGAAGAGTGTGTTCTTCCACAGGAGCAGCAGCAGCAGTCGCCTGCTAACTCTGTCTGCCGAGTGTCGTCTGTCACTGAAGCCATTCATTATCGGTCCTAATGATGACCATTACGCCTGTCATTAGACTTCCTTTGTCTTTTCCTACTCTCTCACTGTGCCCCTTCTGCAAGGTGTATCTGTGTGGCTGTCCTGTCCAGTCTCTCCACTTTGTAGCCTTTAGTGTCAGTCTTCCTTTCTTAGCTCAACTCATCTAATCTTGTCAGCACGTGCTATTCGCGTGTCTCTCTCGCTCCTTAGCTTTTTTATCGATCGACCAGTTGCACACACTGCGGTACACAGATGCTGCCAGGCTTTAGATGGGCCAATAATTCTGCTGACAGACGCCGCTACAGTTAGCTGTAGTGGTGGTGGTACCTTTTCGCCGACCAGTGGCCTGATTGGCGCACATTGCCTACTGCACACTGATCAGCACAGCATCATCAGCAATGACTGGGAAATCTAATTGGCCTGCATCGACTCATTCACTCACTCACTCTCACTCTATCTTTCTCTTTCTCTCTCACCATATGCTTTCACCATATGCATGCCAAGAGGGCACTGAATGGTGAGCCCGGTGTGCATCTATTGGCCATATGTGATGTTAATTGCACCGATGACTGTGCCGGTAGTGCCAATAGTGGTGGTGGTGGTGGAGGTGGTGGTGGTGGTCACTGGGCCGGCGTGTGCTAGGCGCGCGATCACGTCAGTCACGAGACCTGTTGGATATGTTGAATTAATCAACCGTTCAACCAGTTACTAATTACGGAGACAAGGCAGGTCGGCGGCTGCTGCTGTTTGGGCCCAACTTTTGGGCTGCCAATGCTGCTCGTCCACTGCTTCGCCTAGGCCTGCCTGGGTCGTGTCTGTCTGCGTCAGTGTCTATGGCGGCAGTATTGAGCAGTCAGTGCGCCACTTGGTTAGCAGTAGTCTTACTAGTCTTACTGTTTCATTATCTCTGCACATGTTCCACTGGCAATTGCGATGTTGCCACTAGTTGGACCGCTGGAAGAAGCACAAACAATTTGCCAGCTGCCGTCTTGACTGCGCACATTCCTAGTGCCTGGTGGATGGATGGATGGATGGATGGTGTCTTTGGCCACTCTTCTCACTCACTCACTCAGTCTCCTTCTTGACAGACAGAAGACAGACTAAAACCTGTTGCCACGAGGCAGCAATCGCCAATTTGCACTTCTATTTGGCCTTCCTAACTGTAAACTGAACTGTCCTAATGACTGGCCACTTCATTTGAAGCAATTGCCCAAAGCTGCTCCTTCTAGGTGACATTGCTCAAAATGCTCAAATCGTCCATTTATTCTTTTTTGTCGTCAATGTTCCGGCGGAAACCGAGGATTCAGCAAGTTATAATTGAGTTATATAATAAGCAAATACCATAATTTATATTTTGTTGACCAAGAAAAAAGGTAAAAGCCTAAATAAGTTGCATACTGGAGAAGGACAGCTTAGGATTAGTCTGCGGACGGCTGCAATTGCAATCGGAGGTGTGCTTGATTGCCTAGCAATTAGAGTGAGACCGACTGAGGCTAAGCTTAGGCAAACTCACCAAAAGAGAAAGACTGTCGCAGCAGAGTAATTCGAGCCGAAGAACTGTCAGACTGCAACGATTGCACAATGGCACTCTGCTGTGCTGTACTGTCTATCTGTCTGTCTGCCCACTGTTCAGTGTTCCAGCAGTGAGTGCAAATACAAATCAGTTGATCAAACAGAAATAAAAAGTATATGGCGTATGAAAGAGCAGCCGCCTAAGGGGTCTCTTCTCCAAAGGTGCCTCAATTAGTGGAGGCAGTGTGGCAGTCGGCACTGTCGGACACACAATCGGTCAAGCAAACAAGCAACTGCTCTGATTCAGGCAGCCAAAACGCGTGCTACCCCAGCCCTGACGCGTGCAAGCTTGTGGCCACGAGGACACAGACTGTTCAGAGCTGGCCTCGAAGTAGCTTTTTGGCAGCAGCAGCAGTCTCTTTCTCTCTCTTTATTCTCTCCTTCGATCTTCAAAGGAAGTTTCGGTGGGTGCTCTCGGTGGCCACCAGTTAGCTGTTCGATAAACGCCATAAAGTG